TGCTTGGCTATTGTATGATAAAATATATGTATATCTATGTATATTTGTATTTAAATGTCTGGTATTACCGTATTACTAATATCTCGACATCAGTTTGAAAGATATGGAGAATCTGAAAAACTATATTGTATTCCCATGCATATCTTTCATTTAGGAAATGTTAGAAATTAAGATTCCTTTGAAAAGACTAAAAAAATAGAGCAGTAGGAAGTGAATCCCTGTTGAGCAATTCCTCTTCATTTTTATACCTTTTATAAGAAGGCTTTGGGAGTTTAGTGCATATCTTGACTTAATCACCACAACACAATTCACTAGGTACTATCTGTGTTCATAAAAATAAAACCTAGCATGTAGGTCCCACAAATAACAGACAATTTGTCCAAGATCACCTAGCTAGTATGTGTTAGAACTCAGATTGGAATCCAAGTCTTGATGTCAAGTTAATCTCTTTTTATTACACCGTAGTTGCTCTAAATCACTTTGGCTCCTCTATTCTTCAAGGCTGAATCAACTGCATCAATATGTGCTTTTCAAATTTTTTTTAACCTGGTCTCTAACACAAACTCCCAGGAAGGAAAACGTTCACTCTTGAAAGTGATAGGAATAGTGAGAGACTAATGTTTCTTTGGCCTCTTGTCCACCTTCTCTCCTAACAGATCAACATCATATACTCAACACGGCTGTCTGTTGTACTGACTTGTAGGTAAGTTTTGTATTTAAAATGTCTGATTCTGAAACGGGTGTTCTATCAATTCAACTTTGAATTCTATTTTGGAGGAGTATTAGTATAGTAAAATACTGCGAAGACTGAGGCATGTGATTTGCCTTTGTTAGCTACAGATAACATAAACTGGAAAGACAGAGATTGAATGCAATCTTCAATAAGATAGCATTGGTTCAGAGACACAAGTCAGGCCAAACTTACCTTCCTGTTTTGGAAGTGTAAATAATCCTAGAGGATCAAATGACTGTCTTATAGCTAGAATATCTGAATTAAACAAGATACAATGTCCCTATTGTTAAGAGAGGCAAAATGTAGCTTGAGGAAATAGGATTTCTAGTTAGGAGACAAACCATTCTCACCTAGTTGTTACCAACGGTGGGAGTTGATAAACTGCTGTCTTTATTCACATTGTAATCAGGATCACAACTGAAAACAGAAAAGGAGTCCTTTTGAAATTGCCAAATGACAAAATTGTAAAGGAAAGAAGTCTGCTTTGACACTGGTCTGAGGGGTTGGAGAGATGACTCAGTGGCTAAAGAGCACCGGCTGCTCTTCCAGAGGACCTGAGTTCAATTCCCAGCACCCACATGGCAGCTCACAACTGTCTGTAACTCCAAGATCTGGCACCCTCACACAGACATGCATGTAGGCAAGACACTGGTTTGAAAGGAAGGGCAAATGTTACCACATATTCTTTTTTAAATGAAGACAAAATATACTAATTTAACCTCAAAAATTAAGTATATGAGAGGACCTGCCTTAACAACAGTATATAACTGCGTTTTTAGCACTTTATTGAAAATACTCTTTCTGATCATGAGAACAGCCTGGAAAAAGTGAAAGGTGGGTAACAATTCGAAACTTAAAACACATTGCTGGGGGTATGGGGCAGTTGATAGACTAGTTATCTTGAATGTACAAAACCTTATCTTTGATACCCACTACTACATAAAGCAGATGTGGTATTGCTTGCTTATAATCCCAGCACTTGGGAAGTAAAAACAGGAGAATCAAGAATTTAAGGCCAGACAGGCTTCATGGAGATTTTGTAGCCAGCAGCCGGCCAGAGCTATGTAAGACTGTTTCAAGAAATGAAGAATGGAATAAACAAATAACATAAACAATCACAGTCACAAAGCAAGGCAAAAAGTCAACACAATTGAAAACAATACTAATATCATTTAAAATACTATATTATCCAGACACAGCTGTAACACACTTTTCTGTATGCATAATACTATATAAAACAGGTAGGTTGTTATAGGGCACACTTGAAGAAGAATATTGGCAAACTTGTAATTAGAGGAAAGCATAAAAGCTTCTTTGAGGAAGAGATTGCAGGCCAGAACGTAAATGATACTGTGCACAGGACATAGTTAAAAATCTGCTTCTGAAATTGGAGCCTTCAAAAGTTTGAAGATCCTCAACATACTAACTATATTTTTCCATTTTGATGAAGCAAATATTAAATTATAAATTAATACATTTACTGTGTTTTCATTTACTGAATCATGAGACCTAAGTGAGGTATTATAATGAAATTTCTACATGTATGTCCCTTACTGATTGCACACGATGTACTTTTTGGTACTCTGCGTTTATGCTTTCATTTATTTTTCAACAACAAGGACATCTCTCATGAGCTAGAGCAAGCCAAAGCTAGGGAAGCTTCCAGATTGCTTTTACTTTTTTTCCTTTAATTATTTTAATTTTAAATAGCTTGCTTCACATGTCAATCCCAGTTCCCTCTCCCTCCCCTTCTCCCGCACCCCCACCATCCTCCCCCAGCCTCCCACCCTATCGCCACTTCCTTCCACATAGGGGATATCTAGAGTCTGTCACTTCACTCAGGGTAGGGTCCAGACAACTCCTCTAAGAGTCCAGGCTGAGAGAGCATCCCTCTTTGTGTTATGGACACACGAAGTCCATTTTTATGCCAGGAATAAAGACTGATCCACTGCCCAGGGCCCCATAGGTTGCCCAGGCCTCCTCACTGACTCTCACACTCAGTGGATCTGGATCAGTCCCATGCTGGCCTCCCAGCTGTCAGTCTGGGGTCCAAGAGCTCTCCCCTGTTCAGATCAGCTGTCTCTGCTGGTTTTGCCAGCCCATTCTTAGCCAATTTGCTCATCGCTCCTCTCTGTCACTGGGTTCCATGGGTTCAGTGGATGTTTGCCTCTGCTTCCATCAGTCACTGGATGAAGGCTCCAGGATAGTTATAGACATCAAGTTCATTATCAGGAATGGGCATTTGAGGTGGTCTCTCCACTATTGCTTAGCTTGCCAGTTGGTGTCATCCCTTTAGATCAAGGCTGGATCTCACTATGTAGCCCAGGTTGGCACTGAAGTCACAGCACAGTCTTTCTGCCTCAGTCTCCTACATTACAAGTACTGTCACCGTGCCTGGCTCAAAGGCAATATGAAATTTACTTGACTCTAAATAAGTAAAACTACGACTGTACTTGTGTGTAGATTAGAGGGCCCTCTTACAAGTATAAAGCAGAGGATTTGGATAGGGTAGAATCTGCCCTCAGACACCTATATTGAATAACTTGCCTGACAACAAAGTCACCCATGGCAGCTTGAAGATTTAAGGAGAATCATTTTATGTCTGCAGTGTTTCAAGTTTTGGGTTTGGGGTATAACAAGAAAAATCTGAGAGTGAAAGTACTTATTTATAGTTCAGCCTGATAGTGTACCTATGAAAGAGAGGAAGAACAAAGTTGTTCTTGGCTGCTTTGCCTTGAAGCAAAGGTAGGGGTGGTTCCATAAGGAAAATGGGATGTTATGTGTTTGCATATATATGCCTCAGCCATTTAGAATTAGTTGGTGAAATGCTTCCTCACTTTTATGCCCCAACAAAGTGCCTGAAAGTTCAGTCCTATGGAGATCAGTCATGCTTATCTTGCTTTAGCTAATTGACATGGGGAGAGAAAATGCCCATTTTCCAGTTCACGTAACAATCAGAGTAGAAAGAACGTTAAGAAATGTCATTTGAAGAGGTTACCCACTCAATCTGAGTCACCAAGATTTTGGGCGCCAATCCTAATGCTGTCTAGAAAGAGTAACCAGAGCACCAACGGCTGGCTGTAAAGAGAATTGAGTCTTGTGGCCCTTACTAGGTATGAGACTCAATGTTGACTGCCAATAGATTGCAGCAGAAATATCCATGACGTTAATAAGGTTACCAGCAAAACCAGCAGAAATGAACACAGTCTTATTTGAGAAATCAGCAACTTGGATTAGGGTTACTACTGTTGTCTGACATGAGGAGGCTCTGGGTTTGATCCCCAATACTCATTAAAAACACAAAGTATTAATTCTGTGCTTGTAAAAGGAGAAGAGGCTGGCTACTAAAGAAGGCAAACTTTATTTCAGGAAAGTTGTTTAGCTATACTGAGCCACATTAGCCAGATTCCCCAGAAACAATCAGTGACAAGGTAGTTTTTCACTCTGAGGTTTCCATGCCTGTTGTGAGAACCCTTGAAAAGCTACTCACCACAGAGAAGCTGGCCCTTTGCATTCATTCATCCATAGGCTGCCAACTTGCTGCACTTTGAGGGCACAGGGCCAAGAAGTAGGGGCCCTGGCTATGAAGTCCCACCTCTGCCACCTACTCGCTTTGTGACCTTGCAAGTTCCTTTACATCTACCACCAGCTTTAACCACCTCAGAGAGGTGCTGGAAGAGCCTAGTGAAATCACAAACCTGGAGGCACTTTGCAAAGCATAGAGCACTGCAGAAGTATGAGGGACCATTATCCAAACAGCTTCCATGCCAAGCCTTCTGGTATCACCCTGAAGGCCTCCTCTGCTTTGGCACATAATTCCCTGGTTGCTACCTCCAAGCCATATCTGGCTTGGGAGCAAGAGCCCTAACCCCCCCTTCTTGTGCCAGCTTCCTCCTTAATGGATGCAGCTGAATATAGTTATTCTTCATCAGCTCTAGGCTATCCTGGAGAGGCCCAGTTTTTCTCAGGAAAAGCCTCTGCCTTTTAACAAATACCAACAACTCTTCAGAAATAACCTATCAGTGATAGGTGTGAGACAGGGAATAAAAAAATTTGGAGCAATCTTCAGCTTCAGGAAAAAAATAATCGATTTGAGTGAGACTTGCTCAAGGATCTCTGAGTACTCACAACCCAAATGCATGAATGTACACACACGCACGCACACACACACACACACACACACACACACACAGGCATGCACACATGTATACACATACAAACCCTAAAGATTTCACAGTCCACATACTATAGCAACAAGAAATCTTACCTGAATGCTGCTTTCTGCTTCTAAGCCTCTGCTGGCTACTCTGCCTGCCTTCTCTCTACCACCTGTGAAGATTCTAATTCAGTGCTGCCCATTTATACCCTTCTGGGAGTGGCAGGACTCCAGGAATCTCCGTCCTCACCAATCACAAGTGAGAACTCCTTAGTCTCTGGCCATGTCTAATTTAACCCTGTCTATGTAGACATTATATCAGTGTTGTCAGCTTCCTAACTGGGAGGCCGACGTGGCCTCAAAATTAAGGAGCTGCTGTCTTCTGCCTGCTGTGGAGAAATTGTACCTGGTTTCCTTAGTGCTCGCAGACAATTTGGTGTTCCGGTGAGGCAGAAAGAATATTCTGGTGAGCAAGTCTTACTCATAGGCAATATGCGGATAATAGGAAAGAAGAAATCAACTGCTGTGGCACAAAGGGCTCAAGACACAAAGGGTAAAACTAAGGTCAGAGACTGGTTCACTTGTTAAAATGGAGAGAACAGGATATAGACAGAGTTAAAATAGGCAGTGGGCTTAATGCTTCCTTATCCAAGGTTGGCACAAAAACACATACCAAGGCAGGGTCCTAACATGCAAGCAGAACTTGGTAACTTGTCATCCTAACTGGCATGGGCAGAAGTAGAGTTTAAAGATAAGACATGAGCAAAACTGAAGGCAAAAATTGAATCAAGGAGGATACCCTAAGCTCCTATATATTCCCAAAGTACTGACAAAAGAGAAGATATTGCATGTCTGAAATTCTTAGGCTAGAAAGTACAATTTTAAGCAACTTGACTGGCATGAAAATACAAAATTACAGAAGGAAATAGGAAGACATCAGAACTGAAGTTGCTGTATGCAAATACTGAGGACAACATTATGTATAACTAAATCTTTCTGAGTTGCAGATCGAATGTGTCAATTCACATTCAGCCCTGGAAGTAGGACTGATGGGCAAATTATTTTTCCTTTTCTTATTTTATGTTCTTTCTAGCTGTTTAATCTCTTAAAATGTATTCCAAATCCAGGGTGATTTGTTACAGAATGCACCCCAAGACCTGGATTTGCATGTCAAAAAATGTTCTTTGCTTTTATTCCCTATAACATGCAAATAGGAACACAATGTTAGAACACAGGGGAAAATAGTATTAAGACTCTGCTTGTATGCAGTGACAAACTGATCCCCACCAGCAGTATCTGGGGATCATATAAGCTCTAAGGCAGTGTTTCTCAACCTGTAAATTGAAACCCTTTTGAGAAGTTGAATGACCCTTTCAACAGGGATCACCTAAGACTATCAGAAACTCCAGATATTTACATTACAATTGATAACAGTAGCAAAATTAGTTATGAAGTAGCAACATAATAATTTCATAGTTGGGGTCACCATGACACGAGAAACTGTATTAAAGGATCACAGCATTAGGGAGGTTGAGAACCACTGCTCCAAGGCACACTTCTCATTCATAAAACAACTAGAAACATCACTATTTACCATGAAAATGGAACATATGAATGTCACTGGCATAATGGGACCCAGGGGGTAGCAAGTATTGTGCCAAGGGCTGAAGGTGTGAAATGGTGACCAGATGTTGGAAGAGAGTGTCTATCAGAACATCACAGGAAAAGAACTAAATGTGTTTCCAAATGTCTCCATTAAAAATAATATTCGCATGAAATTTTCCTTTTGAGATGGAATGGTGCCTACTTAGCACAGACCCTGGCACATACTGAGCACTCAATATATTGTTGCTAATTGAATAATCATAAATTATAAACTAAAACAACCAGATACAATTTTCCAAGCTCTTTAATCACAGCTGGTGAAAGATGCGAAGTTATAGTAAAATTCTTCATGTATTAAATCAATTACTTTAAGAAGTGATTTTAGATTTGTGAAATTTTATTTTCTCACGTCATGGTTTAAAGGCCTCATTTATCTACAAGTATTTTCTTAGGGGTGATGGGTAAAACTACCGTAGGCACATACAGAATCGTGGGCAGTGGGAAACAAGAAGTCAACCAACTGAAGGTAGGAAGGAATAAAAACTTCTGAAATTGGAAGAAAACTATCCTTACCATTGTTAATATAATCATAAAAGTTTGTTCTTTTAGATAAGTGATAGTAAAGAATAAAAAGGAGAGCTTGGGATCTCAGTAGCACAGTGCTTCCCTGATACAGGCAAGACCCCAACTGCAATTCTCAGTAACGTAATGAATGAATGAGATAGTCTGATTTCTACTGTCAATAATTGCTATTATTTCACTAAATTTAATTTCCATTTCAATAGATAGTATCTTAATACTTTACTGTGCCACATGAAGAGAGGACAGCAGCGTACATGTGTAGCCTGAGTTAATGTTGAGACTGGTTTTTGAGGCAAGCAAGGTTGAAAGAATTAGAAGTCTGGAAGTTGGCAAAAAAATCGGAGGGTAGCAACTACTGTTTCTGTTTAATTTTAATGTATTTTCAGGGTGTAGTTGTACTGGTATAAATCACAGCTAGAAGAAATTAAGAAGCCCTTAGGTGGGGGCCAGGGAGATGTTTCAGTGGGTAAGAGGACTTGCCATCAAGCAGTATAACCCAAGTTCAATCCCTGGGATCCACAAATTAGAAGGAGAGAACTGACTCTTGCAAGTTGTTCTATGACCTGAGTATGCAAAAAATAAATGTAATAAAAATTTAAAGAGAATTCTGTAAGAGAACTTGGCCACTACTGGAGAGTCAGAGAGAAAAATGACAGATTCAATCCTATCTTTGTTTATCTGTTTCTTTTTCTGCAAATGAAATAGTCATCACTTGGAAGTCTCCTGAATCTCAGTGTTCATTTTTGGGACCTATCTTCTTTATTATTTCACCAAGTTTGCTTTCTTTTTCATTCTGGTTTCTCCACTGGATTGTTTTACTGTGTTTCTACTCTTTGTCCAACTGCTTAACCGCCTTCTCTTGTTCTTTCTGGAATATGTTAACATCATGGAGTTATTGAAAATCATTTTCTCTAAGTCATTTAAGCTGAATATAACAGGATGCCCTTGGCTCATTCTTAATTTGTAATCCTACAAGTACCAAGTTGACAATAATAATTACAGAGAAACGAAACTAACTTCAAACATTGAGAAGCAATCTCCACCTACTTATGTACTATTTTTCCAATTTTAAAGGTATTTTTACCATATTCCAATCAATTATGAAATTTGAACACTTAGTGATTTTATGTGATCTTTTCCATTTCATGAAGAAATGTCTATTCTCAGATTGTATTACATATCAATTGAACATTATGCTTCTTTTGAAGAAGATTTGTATGTCTCTTAAAGATAGGAAATACCACTAAATCAGAAGTTTTACCGTAAATTCTAATCTATATATCATTTTATTCTGTTATAGCTTTGAATAAGTGATTCATCTTCCTCAGCATAAGAACAATAATGGTAATAGTAAATATGCATTGTTTGCTATTGATATGCAGGGAGTACTTTAGGAGGCACACTGTAATATTTATAATACCATAACAAAGTAAGAACTATTATAATAATCATATCATTGATTTAAAGTTTAAAGATGTTAAAAATTGTTCAATGTTGGGAATTGAAGTCCAAGCAGCTAATCAGTATCAGGTCTACAATTCAAATCTGTCTTGATTCCAGAGATTACTCTTTTTTTTCTTCTCAGAACTACAAGTATTATTAGCTGACAGCTCTCCTCATGATCCCGGGCTGCTGGGACTGGATGTTCCCGGATGGGCAGCCCTAGTCCTTCGCTAGGAAAAGGGAAAGGTGAACAAAAAGAAAGAGAAAGTATTAGGTGGTGGAGTGTCTGAAGTAAAACCCCTGACAGAGTTTAAGGAGAGGTTCCATTTCAAAACTTCTGTCATAGACACTTTGATCAGTAAACATCAGAACAAAATACCACGAGCACATACGGCATTCTCTTAATACTGTGAAATAATATTGGCTTATAGCATTTTATTCAATCTTATATTCCTCATTTATGAAAATAGTATCTTAGGTAGATGCTTAGGGTCTCTTTCATCTCTAATATATCAAGGGTCTAATACCAAGTAACACTTTGATCTCAGCTATCAGCTGAAATAATAGTAAGAGCAAAATGCAGGAAATAAACTCTTTCCTTTATATCATATGGAAATTGTCAAATTATGTCTTTCCTAATGATTTTGAGAAGAAGGAACATGCATAATATCAACAAGGTCCTGAGTTAACATGGTTTAAAGTGGGGGAAAGCCCAGCATTTCAAATAGGAAAGGAAATATCAGAGAGAAACATACAGTTTCTCTGTTCATGAATCTATGTTTGGCAGGAAGAAATAGACATTCTCTTCTAAAAATGGAAGAGAAAATCCCTGGGCCTACTGTTAAACAATAACAATGAAGCGAAATGCCTCTGAACTTGCTGAGGAGAATTCAGGGAGGCTTGACTTTCAAGGAGGAAAGACTTGGTATATTAATTTCAGTGTCATAAATAACAAATTACTACCAGGGAGTAATATTCCAGAAGAGAAGTACATGCCTCTGGTTGACATACCAAAAAGGCATGGAGCACTAGTGAGGCCAAGAGTTATTCCGGGAGTTATTTTCCCTCCACATTCTCTTCCTTTAAGATCTTGCCCACTGCTGTAGCTTCAACTATCGCATCTATGTGGATGACTCCCAAATTTATATCTGAAGTCCTATCCTATCACACTAGCTCCAAATCTGTACCTCAGCTGCCCCTTGGGCAATTCCACACCGACATTTTGACGCCACTTCAAACCCTTGAAATGCCAAATCTGATTCATTTATCTTTTGCTCAAAGCCGGTTCCTGATAAAGTGAAGAAGGCATGTTACAATCCATAAGGGCAAGTACAAATATTAAGTACTACTGTTTCTGTTTGTCTTCTATGTTTTCTGGAAACAGGGTCTTTTTGTGTGGTCCAGGCTGGCCTGGAAATTTTACTCTCCTGTGGCAGCTTCCTGAGTAATGTAATAAGTACTGTGCTACAATTCTTGGATTACATTATTATTATTACTAACTGTCAATGATAGCACTGTTGTCCTAGAAATCTA